TGGCTCAGTCTAGGTGCTGGGATCAAGATGAATAAGCTAGATTGCTCTTGACTGGCTAAGAAAATGCTTATATGTCAGTAATTGCAGTGGGAATAAGACAAAGGTGTGTGTGAATTCTGTGTGAGAGCGGTCTGGTCCCGCTTGACGGCCAGGCTTGCTCACAAGTCTGACTTAGCCCGGGTGCATGGAAGCAGGCACAAGACAGGGCCATATAGCTGACCTGCAGCTACTGGAGGATCACGAACGTCAGGGCCACAGCACAGCATTTTTATCCATTCGGTCCTGGAAGAGAGACTGCATAAGTGGCAGTTAGACTGTCCGTGGTAACAGTTAACAATGTTTGAAGTGATATGTATACCGTTAACTGCTAATCAACACATACATGTGTCACAACCCATAAATATATACAGTAATTGCGACTGTATATGTGGAAAAAAAACCTTTACAAATACTAAACTACAAGACGGTCTTCTTCCTTAGAAGCATTCACATAGTGGAGTCCTTAGTCCACAAAAATGTAAAAACTTAACTGGCAAAGCCACAATGTAAGGTTTTTCTTTTTGTTTTGTTATTTTTTTTGTGTGCTTTTGTTTGTTTGCTTGTTTGGGCTCTGTTTGTTTGTTTTTTTGTTTTGTCCTTGTTTTTTTGAGACAGGGTTTCTATAGCCTTGGCTGTCCTGGACTTGCTTTGTAGACCAGGCCGGCCTCGAATTCACAGAGAGCTGCCTGCCTCTGTCTCCCAGAGTTCTGGGACAGGTGCGTGCCACTGCGCCCGGTGTGTTTTTGTTTTCTTTGAGACAGGGTTTCTGTGTGCAGCCCTGAGTGTCCTGAAACTCTGTAGACCAGGCTGACATCAAACTTAGAGATCTGCCTGCCTCTGCCTCCTTGAATGCTGAGATTAAAGGCTTGAACCACCACAGCCTGGCTTGTAAGCTTATTTTTTATAAATAGTTACTTAATTTGGTGTTTTAAAACATCATCTGTCTACCTAACTCTGGCTGTCCTGGAACTCACTCTGTAGACCAGGTTGACCTCAGACTCACTTGCTCTCATCTCCTGAGTGCTAGGATTAAAGGCCTGTGCAATGATGCTCAGTGAAAGTTTTTTATTATTATTATTATTATTTGTGTGGATCAGTAATGAAAAGCATCTCACTCAGCACAGTTCATTTCTATCTTAGCATCTTTTTATGCACAGATGTGGTGTTGAATGAAAATGTTGGTAAAACTGTTTGGGAAGGATTAGGAGGTGCGGCCTTGTTGGAAGAGGTTGTCACTGGGGGCTGGCTTTGAGGTTTCAACAGCTTAGGCCTTCTAAGTTAGCACTCTGCTTCCTGCTTGAGGATCAGACGTAGGAGCACTCCATTGTTTCAGACATAGGAGCACACCATGCCTTTGCTCCGCCATCAAGGGCCCCAAATCTCCGTTAGCCCAACGGAGATTTCTTTTATAAGGCATTTTGGTCATGATGCTTTGTCCCAGGAGTAACTAAAAGGCCAGGCAGAATGGCGCATGCCTTTAATGTCAACACGGGGTGTGTGTTTGTGTGTGTGCAGAGGTGGGTAGATGTCTGTGAGTTTGGGGCCAGCCTGATCTACACGTCAGGTTTCATATCTACATAGATAGACCCAAATCTCAAAAAATGAAGCAAGCAAGCAAGCAAACGAACAAGAAAAATAACGAATAGCTTAATTATTTTTTTTGAAAGTTAGGTAAAAACCTGATTGTTCCATTATGTTTCCTACAGTCTAGCTTTTACGGACTGGATATTTGTAGGATACTTTTCTTTTAAACTACTGGACTAGACCAAGGCAAATAAAGAGGACTATGTTTCTTTAGCAGACAGAAACTGGTGCTTCCTGGGTTTGAAATTAAAAGCATTTGATGACTCCACATCTGGCTAGAAACAAGGCTGAGGGCTTCCTCAGAGCCTTTGCTGCTCCCTGGCCACACCCTTTCACCTCTGACCCTGTTGTCAGCCTGGGCCTCTGATAGAAGTCCAAGCCTTTTCTCCCTCCGGGCTCTGTGTTTGCTGCGCTCTGTTCCCGGAAGCACTTCCTTTCTGCGCTTTGTGTCCTAAACGGGAATTCCTCATTCTGCTTCCGCCTGGGTTTGGTATTAGAGAACCAATGTATTGAAGTTACAACCATCTTTACTTCTGGCTTCTTCCACCTCCCGCTCTGCTTGGCTCGCTTCTTCTTCCAAGTTCTTAGCTCGTTCCATCTAGGTTAGCTCAAAGGGCTTCTACAGAGGAACTGATGTCTACGTATATGTATATGCTGGGTAAAAAGGAAAGGAAGAGTCTTTGAGATAAAGAAATGAACAGAGATACCTAAGGACAGAGCACTCTGCCCCTGGAGAGGGGCAAGTAAACCTTTTCTGGAAGCAGGAATGCAAACTCAGACACAGGAAGTGAGAGGGAGCCCCACAAACAGTTCCCGGCGGTCCATTAAGCCAAAAGGATGTCACCAGGTCAGGAGCAATAGCAGGAAAAAGAAGCTCAAAAGCTGAACATGAAATTATTCTCCACACAAATGTAGAGCGGCCAGTGGAAACTGGGAAGGTTTCAGGCCTACTGAGAGGCTTAGTCACTCGTGTGTATGTGTGTGTGTGTGTGTGTGTGTGTGTGTGTGTGTGTGTGTGTGTGCATACACACACAATAATAATCAAATCTGTGTGGACTCCTGGAATGGCACACGTTAAGCAACAGTAATGGTCATGGTGGGGATTTGTGAGTGGGAGAGGAATAGATTTCTGATCTACGTAACACATTCAATCGCCGTGGCCAGTTAGCTTGTGGGGTTCTATGCAGATAAAGAGTCACATCTAGCCTTTTTTTGTCCCTTTTGTTTTGTTTCTTTGAGATGGAGTCTTGCTGTGGCTCCGTCCTTAGGGAACTCATGATGCACCAGCTGGCTGCAAGCTTGGGTTTTCCCAGCCCGCACCTCCCAGGCACTGGGATCGGAGGAGTGCACTACCCTGCTTGACTGTAGCTCTTTTTTTTTTTTTTTTGGTTTTTTTTTTTTTTTTTTGTTTTTTGTTTTTTGTTTTTTGTCTTGTCTCCTTGACCAGCGAGTGAGCTGAGACTGGGAATGATAAAGTAGAGACACATTTGTGGACTGAGCACAGATGAATGTGCTCATTATCACCTCCAGCTCCAGGTTTGTAAAACCGTGGAGGAGAACAGCCTGGGGCATGAGCCTGGCTCCCACTCAGGCGCTGCCGCAATCCAGAACCATGGCTTGGATCGGTTCTTTGTCACTTTAGCACACACACCTCACGGCTGGCTCTTCTCCAAACTGTTCCACATGCACTCTGTCCTTCCCTCATGCTTTTGGGAATGTCAATGGCTGACTGGCTGTAGGGACTGAATCTATAAGGCTTCTCATTCTCACAGGCATGGCCGCGCAGCAACCCCCCCTTCCTTCCCCCCCCCCCCCCCCCGGGCTGCCTGCCTTCCAGGGAACTCAGCCTAACACAGGTGCAGATCACAATGTGAAAGATCAGCCACCCCCTCAAGAGGCTTTTGGGATTTGGCCAGTGGGTTACACAGGCAAGACCAGACGGAAGTAAGAGCGGTGAGGACGGGCTTTTGGTTCTTTCCGCTCTTCCTTCCAGGCACCTGTCACCATATGCCTCCCCCTTTCCCCAGTCGCAGCTTTCATATAGCTGGTTATTGTCATCAAGGGCCAATAATCTACTGCTCTGTTGGTCTGCTATTGGCTGGGTATGTTTTGCATCCCCTGATGCTTCATGTGCTGAAGGTTGGTCCCCACTGTGATAGTATGGAAATGGTGGAGCCTTTAAGAGGGGTGCCTGGTAGAAAGTGATTATGTCCTGGGGTCATTGTCCTTGGAAGAGACTAATGATGTTCTTTCCCATTGACTTATTTCCCCATAAGAGTTAGTTGTTATATATATAGAGAGAGACTGGTTCTTAAAGCTGCCTGGCTTCCAGCATGAGCCTTTCCACATGTGACCTTGCCCCGGCTGTTTTGATCCTATCCAGGATGAGGCCCTCACCCTATAGGCCACTCTGACTGGTTTTTCACCTCTGAAACTGTGGGAACATTTCAAGGTTTACGGATTGATGTATTTATTTAGATTTTTTTTGAGACAACGTTTCTCTGTGTAACGGAACCCTGGCGGTCTTGCAACTCACTCTGTAGACCAGGCTGGCCTCGAACTCATAGGGATCTGCAACTCGAGTGCTAGGTCATGCGCTACCACACCTACCTTCAAGCGACAGTTTTGTGTGTATATGCGTCTGTGTGAGTGTACACCACCTACGTATGGATGCCCACAGAGGCCAGAAGATAACATCGGGTTCCCTGGAATTATAGTTGGTTGTGACCCACCTGTTGTAGGTGCTGAGAACATATCTCGGGCCCTCTGGAAAAGCAGCAGTGTCCTGCCCACGGACCCATCTATCTTGCTCCTCAATGAGTTAGGAATCTCATTTCCGTTGTATCACCCAACCTCATGGATTTTGTTCCAGTACCAGGAAATAGACTAAAAGATGGCCCTTAGAGGCCTTGAGAAGGTCAGTCTTTCCTGTGTTGGCTCAAGGCTCAACACCATCTCTTGGCTCCTTGAAACCTCATCACACACTTGAAAGAGATGTGCTTAGCAAATTCTCCTCAAACGGTCCAGTGTGAAGTCCGTTGATGCTGGTACTCTCTCGCCATGACACTGACTCATGTAAGCCTGAGTTCCCTCTTAAGACAGTATTCTTAGCTACCTGGCAGAGAATGTGTGACAGGTAAGCCCCTTGCCTTAGAAACACTGGAGTTCTGTCCCCAGCACTAAACAGAACCCAGAGAACAATTGCTACCACATTCTCTATCTGCTTCCAAAGTTGAAATAAGTGTTTCTCTGTACCCACGTGAGTCCTTAACAGGGGTATCTAGGAAAAGGAAGGAGAGAATACAAAGGCATTAATGAAGAGGCCCTGAATTCATTGTTTTAGAGGAAAATTGATTTAGACACACATCACACTTAACTGAAAGCAAATTTTCTATATTCCAAATCTAAGAATCACGGTCAATGATTTTTAACAACTACTTGTCCCTCACCCTCAGCGGAACAAGGCAGTAGATTCGAGATGAGGGAAATGAGTGATTCCGACTCTTCTCAATCTAAAACCCTTACAGGAAGTGTTGTTCTCGCTCTCGATTTCTAGTGGGGAAGTAGAGATCTAAGAGGATCCCAAGGCAGCCTGGCTTCCACGTGAGAAGGTGAGTGCCAGGCCGCCCTCTATGCTAGATTTGAGGAGGAATGATAGCATCTTCCAGGATTTTCTTCAAGATGGCCTTGGTGTCTTGGACAACTAATAGAAGCATGCGTTCATGTCTCATGCGCCTGAAACGGCCACGAAAGCATGGGAGACACGTAAGCAAGCAGTCCCAAGTCATCAGCCTCAGTTTCCAGTCCTCTCTGCGGAGAGTGTGCAAGTTCTGGGACTTCATGTTGGCCTTGTATGCTACAACTAACGTCCCCATACTCTGGGCTACCTGCTGAAGGGCGTCATCATCTACACCCAGTACCAGTCGGTACGCTTTCAGACACTCCCCCATGTCATCGTCGTTTCTGACACCAAGAGAATCCTTCAAGTGCCCGTTGGCTATTCTCTCCTTCCAGGAGGCCATTTTATCATCAACGATCTTCTCACAGGTGTCATAAAGGATCGTTAGGGCCTCACCGCACCTGATGTTGGAGAGGTCTTTATAAAGTGTTTCCCTAAGCTTTGGGAAGTCATGTAGCAAAGGGTCTAGATTGGATACCAGGAATATGGGGGGCTTGTTCACCCCCGCCTTCTGGAGATTCTCCCAGACATTCTCCCTGATATTCTGCAGGAGCAATAGCTCCGATAGGACGCTTGTGCTGAGGTCCCTGTCCAGCTTGGTCCAGACAATATAGAACCTCTTTCCCATCCCCTGGATGACTTTGGCCAGCTTCACATGATTCGAACTGAACTGCTCAGAGGCGACAATGATGAATAAGTCACAGACTCTGAATTTCATCTCTTTCACATAGTTCTCTACGGTTTGGGCTGTGGCCCCCAAGCCAGGCAGGTCCCACAGTACCACATTGGGGAAATGGGATGAAGAGTATTCAGCCCGAGTCTGGGTGGTCCTCACCACTCCAGTGGGAGCTGAGTCATTTTCCTCATGGCCAACGAATCGGAGTGCATTGATGAAAGATGAGATGCCATTGCCCGAGTCCCCAGTCACGGAGATGTTCACTGGCGTTTGGGACAACGTTGCCACGGTCTCCTTGAACCCATTTGCCAGTTCCAGCAGTTTCCCTCCTTTCAAGGCCTTTTCAATGTTCTTGCTCGCCTGAGGTAAAATGCTGTTGCCTGTTTGATATGATGTGACAAAGGGGAAGGATGAGTTTAATGGAGCATAATGCTTCTCGGCCATCTTGGGGAGTAGTGGCTCAACCTGCGGAAGTGGAAGAGTTGAGGAGTTAGACATAGGGTGCTATAGGAATTAGCAGATTTCGAGCCACAGCCTCCAGGTTCCCGATCCACAGCCAGAGAAGTGGCAAAGACATTTCATTTACAAGCAGTACATTTCTGTGTATAACTGTTGGTAATGTAATATTAGCAGAGGCACTCAAGTTGATTTGTGAAAGTAGATTTTTCTTGTTGGCTGATTCCTTGCAATGAAATTAAAGCATTAGTGGGACTGGGGTAGGACTGAGAAGAAAATTGGTTGGGATCACTAAGTGGATTTTTTTTGGGGGGGGTGAGGGGGTACAGTTTCTGTGTGTGGCCCTGGCTTTCCTGAAACTCACTCTTTAGACCAGCCTGGCTGTAAGCCAAGAGATCTATTTGCCTCTGCCTCCCAAGGGCTGGGATCAAAGGTGTGCACCACCACAGCCCAGCTAACCAAGAGGATTCTACACAAGGTTATAACACACAAAACACGCCTTACTGGTGGACTTAAAAAAGTTCCCCTATCATGACTAATTGTTATGCTATCCTCTCTTAAAATTCAGCTTTCTTCTCGTGATGAACACAAATAAAAAATAAATTCTACAACTCGGGGCTAGTTAGATGGCTCAGCAGCTAAGGGCACTTGATGCTGAGTCAGATGATCTGAGTTCAATCCCAGGAATCCCCATGGTGTAGAAAGAACTGACTCCTGAAAGTTGTCCTCCAACTCCCCTTCCGCATGCTTGAACATATGTACATACACACACATACATACACCACGTCCAAATCTAAAACCTAAGCTCCTCGATCCCCCACCCCCCCAATAGAGCCTTTCTCTCCCATTAGGAGTACCCGATGGAACATCTGGAGACCTGTCTGGTCCTCACATTGAGGGAGGAGGTTTCCCTAGAAGACCCGGTTATTTATCTGTAGGACACATTCATGGCCATGGGACGTCCAACCGCACAGCTTCTCATCTTCCATAGAGCTCCTTGGGCTCAAGCACCCCCTCCACTTATCCTTCTCCTGGGATAGCGCCTGAATTTAATCCTGTTCTGCTCCCCATAGCCTTGTTATTCAGCCTCGGGACTTGTACTCATCCTTTACAGAAGAAAATGGCAAGAGACCATTCCGTGTTTAAGGAGCTCAGCAACTTGTAACATGGACACGTGCCTGGAACTCCAGCGTTCTGCCTCAAGCACCAGAAAGTCACGCTACCCACCTCATAGGACTTGTGTGATGGTTTCATGACAGGGTCCGAGTGCTGCTTCCCTCACACCTTTCGGCTCCCTTGGTGAGGCTCTCTGGTTTTATTAGGGTCTCTGAGGAAGCTGATCCTCGGAGTCTTCCTCCACTCTTACACTTTAAGAAGGTCCTGTGTCTGTGAATCTGAGTTGGTTCCTTTGAATGCCTTATCTCACTTAACGCTCCTCAAACCCTATTAGATAAGTGGAATTCATTATTGTTGATTGTGCGTGAACAAACAGAAAATCAGGGATAAAATAGTCAGGATTTATTTATTTAATTCTAGACAGAGTCTTGCTTGGTAGCTCAGGCTGACCTCAAATTTACGGTCCTCCTACCTCAGTCTCTCTAGCGCTGGGATTACAGGCCTCTACCACAATGCCCAAGAACCAGTTTTGAATTATACGCAGAGTGTGTAAGGAATCCAAAGGCTGATCCTTGGAACACAACTGTGTAGTGTTTCTGTCTGTATAGCGAAGACAATACTACTTTACAGAGGTACGGTCCATGATGCGGGGTTTCCCTTGGGAACCCTAGTCTACCCGCTGCCACCAATTGTCATTTACCCTTTATACGGACACCCAGCTCCTAACTGTTGAGACCAACGTGTCCGTCCTCTTTCATACGCACCGTATAACTGAATTGCAATGGTAAAGGAGATTCCTCCATTAACTCATCAGGAGACCAAGATGCTTTATCGTCAGTGGGAGGGAGACTATGGGAAAGGCGGCTGTCCCATGTCACAAATCTGCATAGAGCCTGCAAGCCCCTTGAGCCTGTGACTATAGAAACCATTCAGGATCCTCCTCTAGCAGTTCTCAGGTGAGACACTCTGGAACAGCCAGAGTGGCATGCTGCCTGCTTCAGAGTGGCAGGGAGTCCTGAGCTGGGTCTGAAGACATCACGGTGGGCTGGTATATTCTGAGACAAAGTTGGCTGGAAGCCAGGGGAATGAAGCAGGATGAAGTCCAGGAGGAGAGGACATTCTGTAGTGGTGTGTGGAGACAGGGGACAGAGAGCAGAGGCTGCGTGACATTTAGTAGCGTCTTGTCCTCAAGGTAGTTCTTCCCACTTGCCTGTCACTGGCCAGGGTCTAGCTCTGCGTCTGCTTTGCTTTACTTTGGCGTCACTCACCAGGGTCAAAGGTGAGTGCAAACCATGCAGATCTCAGAACTATTTGTGTGGCCGTGACTGAAGATGGGGACTCCCATCTGCCTGCACCCCTGTGCACCCCTGTACTGGGCCCTGTGGGAGACGGTGGAGGTCACAGCTGCACACGGGATCCAGTCACTCTCAAGAGGGTCGTAGCCTGCTGAAGTCCAGGCATTACAAGCCACCTGGGAAAGGCAACGAACGGGTCCCTGTATGAAGCTGCAGGAGCCTCCAGGAGCCACCCAGGAGCGTTGGTGTGGATAGCCTCAGGGTACTGTGGCTCAGAACACCGACCCAGAATTCTCTCTGGGATTCAAACGGCTCTCCCACTTCCCTTTTTTGCGGATCCTGCCCAGATTATATGCTGTTTCACACACACTACAGAGGGTTGAAGATCAAAAAGGAAGAATGTGGATCCTTGTGCCTGCTGGCCCAACTAGAGGGGAGAGCTGGGCCTGGGAAGGAGAATCAGACCTTCCCAGGAGCAGTGTCTTTGGATTCTCCCAACAGACACAAAGAATGAAGAGCATGCTCGCACCTGCCCATCGCTGCATGAAAGGTGGCAGGTACCACACAATTCACCCTGCCACTAGTTTATTCCATCTTAGTTCACTGGACCAAGTTTTACTATTTTCTACTCCAATTAATTAACTTGAAAATAATGCTTATTGTAACCCATTAAATAAATATCATGGCTTCCCTGAGGCAAAATTTACAAATGATTTTTTTTTTTTTTTCTGGGTAGGACTCTAGGCAGTTCACCTGTTACACAATTTTTATCAGTCACCATCAGAAAGACTCACGGAAATGTGGGAACCAGACTGGGCTAATAATGGACCTAAAAACAAGGATTTTTGTGAACTAGTATTTGTTGGAGGATTCCTGCCGCTTGAGGTTGTAGTTCTCCTAGACTGGATAGCCATTCTGAGCTCAGCATTAAAGTACAGAACTCCTTCTTTGCCAGCAGGGCCTCTTCCTTTCTGCCTGACTTCATCTGGAGAGGGTCTTCAGACACAGACGTTCCTAACCACGTTTGCTATATGGCCTCTGACACAGCTCTTTGCTAGCTCTCCCCTCCCCTCGACTATAGGATAATTAGGTGCTGTGTTTCCACTCATATGATAGGAGCGTGCTGTATAATGCAAGTCAAGCATCCGTGAAGTGCTTACGTCCAACCAATTGTGTACACCTATCTTTGGAGCCCCCACCCACTCCCCCAAGGGCTATATAACCTTTGTTCTTGGGGAGTAAAGTTGTACTAGCTCCCTGCAATGGTTCCTGGGCTGTGTGATCCCGGTACAGTGCTTGCCAGCCATTCCAGGCATGCTCCTCATCCCCTGCCTCTCCTGACTTTGTGGGCTGCTGGGATGCAGACCCCAGGCAGGAGGAGAATCTTCACGTATTCTTGTGTGTTCTAAAAACCCTCATTTATTCCTTATTTGATCACCATTAGGAAAGACTGAGAGAAAAATCAAGATGCTTATTTCTGGAAAGGGTGATCAACTTTCTCCTGGTGAACGGGGACAATACTGAGCCCAGAACGCTCTGGGTAGATGGTGTTTGGAAAGCTCCCACCTCATGAACTAATCTGTAAATTCAAGAGTCGGTGTTTTAAGCAGAGCAACTTTCTCCAATGCAGATAAAACATTTGAATGGAGCAGAGAAAAAAGGTCACCAAGATACCTTATACACAAAACCTACACTGAGATTCCTCTTTTCTGGATGGTCCAGATAAGAAACAAACTCTTCTTTATTTTTATGTGTCTTAGATATTGCCTAGATATTGTGGACCATTCTGATCTGACCATTTGTGAAGAGGTGCTATATTAGATTCCAAGAGGATAGCTGGAGCACCTGCCCTCCTTCTTCAAGCTTAGCTACTATTAGAAGACCCACAAGGCCAGGAATATGCAGGTGGGATAGGCATTTGCCTCCAGGCTGGTGGCTTGGATGGATTTGAGCCCCAAAGATACTGCAGTGCTGTGTGGTACTGAAGACAGTCGGAGAAAGGTCTTGCTTTGAACTGTACCTGAGCAAAATAAACCAGACCCCAAGGTCACATGAGCTGGTGTCTGGGTTCTATTCTTCATACCATAAATATGGAGGATTGGGGGTGGCCGAGGTACACTTGGGAAGCTCTTACTTACCTGCTCCGGAGGAGGGGTTCTATGTGACCTGAGGTTAGTGGCCTTCCTGGAATGTCACCTGTTCCTTTAAAAAATGTTGCTGTCCTCCAGCACAAGTTCTCTGTGGAAAGAACTAGAACTGGAATCCAGACCCGGAATGTTCAGAGATGCAATGCGAAGGTCTGGAGTCCTTCTCAGCAGAATCAAGAAGGGGTCTGGTCGCGTGGATTTCCTCTCTGCCTCTGATCTCTACGCAGTTTGCTTTTGCCCTGCAATTTCTAGTTCTGAATCCTGCTGGCCACGGTTCAGCGGGGAGGGGACTCCAGTGAGCATCGGTTTCAGTTTCTATTCCCAGAAATGGCTGGTTTGCAAGATGAGGCTGGCAGGCTGCAGAGGATTCTTCAGAGAGGGGAAGGGCGCTGCTGTGCTGACCCAAAGTTCAGTATTAGTGCGGGTGGGGATGAGGGATGGGGGTGTGTGTGGAAGTGGTGGGGCTGGAGGCGTTAGGAGTGGGAGTTTGCTTAGGGACCTTAACAGCCGGTCCACGGGCAGAGCATCCCGTGTCTGCCCTTGCTACTTCTTTCCGCCACCACCTGTGGAGAGAATGGCTCTGGGGAATGTTGATCTCCAGACCCATCAAACTCTGGCCGCTTAGGTGCTCGGAGACTGCCCTGCCACCTTGTTTTCCTGTTTACTGGCTCACTTGGTTATGCCCACCTCACTGTTTTCACGAAGGAGGAAGTCAGAGCAGCAGGGGGTGGAGAAAAAAAACCGCTCTCGTCCTTGCTAGTGAGTGTCTGACCTGAGCTGAGAGGGGGCATATTTCATTTTCGTAAGATCCAGGAGTTGGTTTATTAGGGAATTGGACCCCTGAGCAAAGGCAGGGATTGGCGGCTTTGACCATACATGGAAGCGATGACCCCTGTGTGATGTTCTCATAAAGAAAAGCAGAAGTGCTTTCTAGCAACCGGCGACGGCCACGTTGAAGAGCGGCAGGGCGGCTCTGTTATTCCCTTTGCTTTTTTTTTTTTTTCCCTGTACCTACTGATGAGTTCTACTGCACAGCTGAATAAATAGGAACAGGTGTGTGTGTGTGAGCAGAGCTGAGCCTGTTCCGGACTCACTGTGGAGGGAGGCAGGTTGGGCAGGGAAGAGTGAGGAGGAGGCTACACCGGAGCTTTCCAGTGTCCCGCCCCCCGCCCCCAACTTCTGCCTACTGCTGGCTCAGTTTTGCCCAGAGGTTAACGCAATGTGACCCTCTGGTGGCAGGGAGCCTTCCCTGTCACCCCTCCATGTGACCAGGCTTTCTCTTTCTCCTTCCTGGAAATGACTGACTTGCTGGGAAGAGGACCGAGTGGGGGTAGCTGCTTTTGCATTCCTGTTCTTGTTTAATGAACTGGAGGTTTTGAGTGAAATCCAGGAGCTGTCCTTCTTGTTTGCTTTCCTCTAGGCCCTCAGCTTCTCCTCCAGGGCTGAGGAGAAGCCAGGCTGCTGCAAATTTCCGGCTGCTTTTGATCTCTGCTTCAGAGACTGGCGGGAGCTGTCTATATGTCCTGCTGCCTTTGTGGGATTTCTAAACAAACGGACAGGTTCCCCAAGGCAGGATGACGTGACGGACGTAATGACTGGAGGCAGTGTGTGCGCACAGAGAGTAATGAGAACACAGGCAGCCTGTCCTTGAAGGTGTCATTTGCCCAGAGTTTTTGAGTGGGGCTGCCTGGAGTTAGACTTTCCTGATGGAGGCTAAGGTCAGGTGGTTGTCTGTTTAGAAGCCTCGTTCGTGAGCTAGGTCATGGCGACACATGCATAACCTAATCAGTTGTGAAAGGGTGGTTATGAGCTGCAGACTACTTTGTGTTATAAAAGTGAGTTCTAAGCCAACTTGGACCTCCTAGGAAGACTGTTGGAAGAACTGAAAAAAAGAACAAATACAAAAACAAAACAAAACAAAAAACCAAACCATAAACACACACATACACCCAAGAAGGCAAGCATTTCAATCATTTTGCTGTGGAAGGAATGTGGAAGTTTGATCATCTTGAATTCAAAGTCTGTCACGATCTTTGTGTGTGTGTGTGTGTGTGTGTGTGTGTGTGTGTGTGTGCGCGTGTGTAAAGACAGCCTGGTGGAGGCCCTGGGGAGAGTTCAGGAGGACAAGGCAGAGTAGAGGAATCCTCTTAATAGGTCCAGGGGGAGAGTAAGGTTTCATGCCACACAATTTTGAGTAGTCAGAGCACACACCTGTGTCAGGCTATCCGGATTTCTGGATGGTAGGAATATAGGGGGTGTCTTACATTTTGGGGAAGGAGTGTGTGACCTTGAGGATGGATAGGAAAAGGTCGGAGAACCTCATTAGGTTAATGGGTATCCCTTAAATGGTAATGCTGCTGATAGGCCCTGATGGCTTAGAGTCTGGTAGGCTGGGCTGCTCCGAACACACAACTGTGAGGGTGGATAGAGACAGATGAGTGTGACCTGAGAAGGTCTTACTTGGATTCTAGAATTTTTATGTGTGTGTGGTCGAGACAGCTTTTCTCTGTGTAGCCCTGGCTGTCCTGGAGCTCACTCTGTAGACCAGGCTGGCCTCTCACTGAGAGATCTGCCTGCCTCTGCCTCCCGAGTGCTGGGATTAGAGATGTGTACCACCACTGCCCGGCAAGATCTAACATTAAAAAAAAAAGATTAATTTATTTTTATTTTATGTATAGTGATGTTTTACTTCTGTGTATATGCACACTGTGTGTGTGTGCCTGCAGAGGCCAAAAGAGGGTGCCAGATCCCCTGAAACTGGAGTTAAGGACAGTGGTAAACCTCCATATAGGTGCTGGCAATTGAATCTGGGGTCCTTTGCAAGAATAGAAAGTACTTTTTTTTTCTTTTTCTTTTTCTTTTTTTTTTTTTTTAAATGCTTTTGAGATACAATCTCATTGTGGCTCTCCTTGGCCTGGAACTCCCAGTGTAGACCAGGCTGGCCTCCAACTCACAGAGATCCACCTGCACCTGTCTCCTGAGTGCTGGAAGTAAAGGCATGGGCTACCATGATCAGCACAGGTTCTTACCATCTGAGTAAGATCCTGTCTTAGTAGGCTTTTATTCTGATTAATTATCCATTCACCACAGAAAAGAGAGGGGAAGGTCAGTGATTACAAAATACACAGCAGGGGCGTTTCTTGTTTACTTTCTCTGATACTGAAGTGTGGGGACTGCCTCTCTTTTGCCCTTCCTCCTTATGTTCAACAGTGATATTCAGTTCATTAATCACCACACCAGGTTACACTTCCTGGAAAGATTCATGCTGATTTACTCTGGATGAACAGGGTCTTGGATATAGCTGAATGACCGGCCAATCACAGTCTCACACCTATCACACTGGGAGGCATACACAGGTACAGACAGACGTGCACAGATACACACATACACACGTGCAAACATACTTGAGGTCACAGAGCCTTGTGCCAGGATAATGAAGTCATCGGCCATTTGCTTTACAACTAAAGAAAGGGCCCTAGTGTTTCTGTCAGGGTAGTGTAGGTGCCTTAGCTTCGAGCTCAGCAAATTTGCTTTCTCCTGGACCTTGTTCCTATATGTGACTCCAGCTCACTCACGGAAGGCTTGTCTGCTGCAAGTGTGGAGGAGGCTCTAACGGAAAGAGCTTTCCTGGTCTCCTGCTCTCACAGAGATAGGGCTGCACGCTGTTTTTCCTTTCTTCTTCCTCTCACAAAGCACCCCCAGAGGTGACTTATCACAGGTTGTCAAGGTTAGGGCTCCAGCTACCATGAATACCACCTCAGTTCTTCAGCATGTAGAATTGTACTTTGACTCCCACAAGGAAACCAAGGAGCTTACATCTGGGGCTCAGAGATTTTATCTCTTCTGCAACTGCCCCCTCCTGGCTGTGGCCTGACACTGCACTCTGGACCCGGGAAGTCTGTCCTGCAAAACACATGAGGTGTCTTAGCACTCTGTCCTTACACGGAGGAGGTGGTTTCTTTCACTAATGCATGGCGTAATTTAATCGGGACGGAGCGGTCTTTCTGTCTTTGTCTTTGTTTTCAAAACCACCTTTATTTTGCCTGCGTTGTGTGCATGTGTATGTGTGTGATCTCAGCCCTTACCATTCACGTCACGCTGTCTTCCTTTATAGACCATTTTGCATATGCAAAGTAATTGCCCCTCTCCACTCTGAAGGGATAGAATGCGGGATATTTTCTCATATAATATTTTGGTTTTCTAATATTTAACTCCTGCCCTGGCTCACATAGTTCACATAAAAGTTTTTTTTTTTTCCCACCCTAGGGAGAATCAGTCTTCTTCAGAGATGAGAGTCCTCCTGATGGCTATCTAGTTTCAAGTGATCAGCCCTAAGCGTGGAACACTAAATGGACCTTTGTTTTTGTTATAAATGTGCGTGTGTGTATGAGAGAGAGAGAGAGAGAATAATTAATCAGAGGAAGTGGAGAGAAGTGGGAGGAGTTGGAGGGGAGAAAGGGAGGTATGGAATGATGTGGACAGGGCACTTACATACGGAAGTCTCAAAACAATTTTAGGAAGGAAAAAAAAAAGATACCAAATAATGCTTCTTTCCCTTAGGAGACTGTAGGTGTCACTGTGGTCCCTTTTTTCGTTTTCTCTAGGGTTAATAACTTGGTGTCGATTATCCACATGGAACTGTGGACAAGGATGGTGATAAAGGGGTGATGGTCTGGGGTCCACAGGCTCAGCCACGTGACTTTTCTGGAGAGATGTGAACAGTCAGACAGGGCAAAGGCATTTCCTCCAAGTCTGTCTTAGTCAACCAGTAAACATTTTGGGACTTTTTTTTGCAGAAGCTTGGGGGACCGAGGGCAGTGGCTTCACTGATAAGCCGGTGACGACTCAGGAACACTGTATCCTTGGAAGTACACAGTATTATAGAATGTCTTGCCTCCCTAGCAAGTGTTTACTGCTTGTGTAACCTTGGGAAGAAGGGACTTGTGAGTCTGGAGCCACTGAGCTGCTGCTGCTGCTGCTGCTGCTGCTGCTGCTGCTGCTTCTTCTTCTTCTTCTTCTTCTTCTTCTTCTTCTTCTTCTTCTTCTT